ATTACAATCTTGAGGCCAGGTGCTGGGCATAACAGGTAGTTTTGGCCTGCTAGCTCAAAGACTGGCAATGAGAACCCATCAGCTGCTCTGTAGGAGAAAGATGAGGCCGTTTGCCTTATGATTTACAGTCTCAGAAACCCAACAGAGGATCACCAGGAGTCAGAACTGACTCAAGGCCAATAGGCATGGTTATGCTTTGATTATGAATGTTGCCAGAGTGGACTTTATGCAGCATGACGGTTAAAACATGACCCCTAAAAAAAAAAAAGGGGGGGAGCTCTGGTGGCCTAGTGGCAAGAAGCTGCACTGCAATCCCAGAGGTGCATGGTTCAAATCCACCAGATGCTCTGCCGAGGAAGGAGGGACAATCTCCTCCTGTACCAGTCAGATCTGATTTGACGGTACACGCAAAATAAATAATAAAATAAAAAAAAATATGACCCCTTCCCCACTGCAAACTAGAACCAGGCCTATTTCTTCCAACGCGTCATTTTCTGGATAAAACTTTCAAATAGCTTTCCTCTTGATTACAATAAAATACGCCTCCTCACTGTATCTCTAAGGCCTTATGTGACCCTACTCCAGCTACCATCTCATCTTCAACGTCACTCAAGCCAGTCTGCCGTATCTCCTCGGTCACCTCACCTTCTTTCAGTTCCATGGAGATGCCTCTATCAGTGCATTAGGGAGCACTGGTGGCTTAGTGGTAAGGAGTTGCACTGCCAACCCAGAGGAATGTGGTTCAAATCCATCAGCTGCTCTGCTGGAGAACGAGAGGAAATCTCCTCCTATGTGACTTACTGTCTCTTAAAATCTGTTGGAGGGTCAGCTATGGGTCAGTTCCCAGTTGAAGGTAAATAGGAGCCTCAGTGCACTTGGCACAAGCTCTTCTCTCTGCCTGGCTGCGTCCTCACTTCTTTACATCGTCAGCTGGATTTTCTTTCTTCACTATGTCTTTGTTTGGGTTCCATACTCTCACCCCAAAACTCTTAGATTCTAGATTCCTGCTTCACAACTGAGTTTGGTTTTGACAATGGATTTGGGATAAACTGATCAATGGTAAAAACATAAGGAGCTGCCCTTTTATTATGTTTCTAGAGATGTCTTTAAGGGGTGTGACTTTTTGGCCAGTTAATTTATCCTGGTAGGCTTCTGGCATCTTTTCTATCTGCCTTCCATAGCTGTGAGCACTACATTTGGATGTGAATCGAGTCCTTGAAGGAAAGGGCATTGATTTGATTACGTTCACGTTGTGGGGATGGTTCTAGCCTGAAACATAATGTGAAAGTTTTATATCATTTTGAAAATGGAAAATGAGTAAGAAAGACTGAAGAATGCCTCTCTGAATTGCTGTGTTGGTGAAGTGACTATTCCATGGACTACAGAACAAACCAATTTGTCTTAGAAATGAAGTCAGTATGTTCCTTATAACCCACGATGGTGAGATTTCAACTCACATATCCGGGCATGTTATCAAGAGGGGCTGGTGTGGTGAGATTTCAACTCACATATCCAGGCATGTTATCAAGAGGGGCTGGTGTGTGGAAAAGGGCATCATACTTAGAAAAGCACAGAATCAGCAAAAGATGGGAAGACCCTCAATGAGATGGATCACACAGTGAATCTAATAATAGGTTTGATTAAGCACAGCATACTGTGAGGATTGCACAGGATTGGGCAAGTTTTTATCTGCTATACAAACATAGCAAGGCTTCATCTGTTGTACCTAACAACAGAAAGTAAATAAGGGGCTTCAAGGTAAACAATACCTGGTTTATAATATTTGAACCTTAATTGCATGATGTTGTTGTATGTGTCATTGGGTTGCCTATGACTCACAGCGACCCTATGTATCACAGCTCTAAACCCTACTCTATCCCTTGCTAATCTTATTTTCTCCAACACACCTATTCCCATTACCCCAGTGACTGAATCAATCCATCTCATTGAGGGTCTTCCTCTCCTACACTGTCCCTCCACTCTCCCAAGCACAACGTCCCTCTCCAAGGACTGATCCCACCTTGCAATGTGTCCAAAGTATGTCAGACAAAACTTTAGAATCCTTGCCTCCAAGGAGCAATATGGCTTCAACCTCTCCAGGATGAACTTGTTTGTTCTCCTAGCAGTCCAGCACCAAAGCTCAAAGGCATCAACTCTCCTATCATCCCTAGTCATTGTCCAGTTCTCTGATGCACAGCAATTGCAAAGACCATGGCCTGTATCAGGTGCACCTTAGTCTCCAGATTGACACTGTTGCTCTTCAGTACTTTGGAGAGTTCTCTGACAGCAGACTACCAATGCAATTAGTCTTTTAATTTCTTGGCTGCTGGTACCAACAGTCTTGATTGTAGAGCCAAAACAAACTGAAGCTGTCAACAGTCTCAATCTCTTCACCATCTATCATGATACTGCCAATCTGCCCAGTGGTGAGAATCTTTGTTTTCTTGATGTTGAGCTTCAATACATATTGAAGGCTGTAGTCCTTGACCTTCTGCAGCAAGTGCCTCAGTTTCAGCAAGCTGGCTGTGTCATCTGCATGACGCAGATTGTTGATGAGTCTACCTCCAGTCCTGATGCCACACTTCTCATACAGCCCAGCCTCCCGGATAATCTGTTCTGCATATTGATTGAAAAGATATGGAGTTAGGACACTTCCTTGACGCACACCCATCCCAATTTTGAACCACGCAGTGTCTCCTTGCTCTTTTCTGATGACTGCCTCCTGGTCCAAGTATAGGTTTCATATAAGGACAATCAAGTGTTCTGGGATTCCCATTCTTCACAGATGTGAGAATTCTATTTAAGAATTCATTTTTTCAATCAATATGTATTGAAAAAATTCGATATTCCAGGAACTGAGGATACAAGTGACAAAAAAAAAAAAATACAGAAATTCCTGCCCTTATGAAGGTTACATTCTAGTGCAGGAAGGATGATGGAAGATGAAAACAAAGACTGTGTGTAAGTGCTGAACAGAACACCACAGAAGCGGATGTGAGGAAAGGAGTGTATCACATGGCTGTTAAGCTGCCATAACAGATAGGGTTGAGTCTGTACTGTGAAGGTGGCATTTGAAAACTGAACTAAGAAAGATGGCAGGGAGAGTGGCAAATAGGTAATTGGGGGAAGAACAGTAGGCCCATGGCAACTGCCAAATGCAACAAAAGTTCTCAAAGTGTGTTACCCAGGGAAGTCGCATTGTACCACTTGTGAGCTTGTTAGAAATACAAACTCACAGGTCCCATCCTTGTTTTGGGAAATAACCTGTAGATGTTTCCCACAAGGCTGTCTGAATAGCTGCCAAGGTGATTTTTATGCAAGTTAAATATAATCATTGATATGTTGTTGTTGCTGCTGTTATTGTGTTCAATCCAGTCAGAACCGACCCATAGCTGACCCACCAGTGGGTTTTCAGAGGCAGTATAATCTTGCACAAGAGGAGATTGTCCGTCCTTCTCCCACAGAGCAGCTGGTGGACCCGAACAGCATACCTTTGCATTGGCAGTGAAATTTCTCACCACTAGGTCATGAGAGTTCACTACTGATATGTTGTTGTTGGGTGTCACTGAGTCGAGTACGACCCATAGCGACCCTGTGAACGACAGATCTGAACCCTATCTTAACACTGATATTGGGAAGGTGGGGGGAAATGCAGGCTTTGGAAGTACATACACCCACCTCTGACCCACTCTTAACTAGCTGCGATATTTTGATTTGATGGTTCTCAAACTTTAGGGTGCCTGAGAGGCACCTGAAGGGCTGGTTAAAAGACAAATTATTGGACCATAATTTTAAGAATTTCTGACTCAGTATGTCTGGGATTGGGGCCTGAGAACCGACTAGCCTTTCTAACAAGCTCCTTGATGGTGCTGGTGCCACTGGGACCCCACGTTTGGGGAAATCCCTGAAAACCATGCACCCAGGTTGCACAGATGGCCAACTACTAACCAAAAGGCTGTAAGTTCAAACCCATCTAGAGGCACCTTGAAATAAAGGCTGGGACTTATCCTTCTGCTTGCAAAGAACACAGCCACAGAAACACACAGAGGCAAGAGATTCGTGGTTTGGGGTGGCAGATGGCTAGCTAGCAAAAGGCCAGTATGCAGCAAAGTCCTGTGAGCTGCGAGGAGTGACCGAGGCCAAGGATGGGGACAGGGACAGCTGGCCTTTCACTCGGAGGTGACTACATGGCAGCACTGTCCCCACGTTCATTTCAAGGAGCCTCCTCTTCCTGCACGGAGCTCCGCTGGCCTTGGGACTAAGGAGCTGCGTTACCAACACACACAGGTTAGCAGTTCGAGTCCACCAGCTGCAGGTGGAAGATGGACACTGTCCTCTCCTGCCATCTGCTGCTTCCGGAAACCGGCTGGAGGGTCAGCTGAGGGTCAGTGCCGACTCGATGGCCCCTGATGGCGGCTACAGCAGTGGCCAATCCAAGCCGATTCCCAACGTCCAGGAGACAGCTGGCCGCTCGTGTCAAGCGAGGAGGAGGATGGAGAGATGAGGAGTGAGGGGGGAAAGGAGCTAGCAATATATTATAAATATATACAATATACAATAAATATAATTATAAAGGTGTTTTTTTTTTTTAAATCAAACTCCTAAAATAACCCACCAAAAGAACCTCAAAGTCACTGCTGTCCAGTGCAGACCGGCTTGGAGCTGACCCGCCCGCGGGCCCCGAGTTATGCAACCCTTCCTCCCGCCCGTGGATTCGAACCGCCGGAGACGCGCTGGCTTGGGGTCATCCAGCAGCACAACCCCCTGCGGACGGGCCCAGGTCCCCCGTGATGTGTGGCGTGTGGAGAAAAGGGCACACAATTCCAAATATCTGCAAATTATTTTGGGGGGACCGAAGGAGGTTTTGTAGGCCGGGCGAAGAGTTGTTCCTCGGTTTCCAGCGTTTTTGAAATGACTATTTCTTAGCGAAGGGGCGGCGGCGGGGAAGAGCCCTGACTGGCGGCGTAACCCGGGGAGGGAAGCCGACACCCCGCACTTACGGCTGCTCCTCCTTCCCCTCCATGCACCCCGCTAAGCCCGGGCCGAGGCAGGGAGGCGCCGGCGCGCGCACGGCCACAGCCACCGAGGGGACGCGGGCGCGCGGCCACTGTGACTCCGCGTTGCTAGGCGGCG